TATAACTCGTTCAAGGTTCTAAGATGTCACGACCTCAGGATGATAGAAATCAAGAAGCTACTGTATATCTGGTGAGTGTAACGACGAACCTGCTTGCATCATACCTCTAAATCTAAAAATGTGCAGGGTAATTTGGATGAACGGTGTACAGATGCTCTCATATGGGAGCTAATGCTGCAAGCGGGGCCTGTTGGTGAGTATCACGCATTAAATTTCAACGATCAACTTTAACGGATACCATTGCGTCAGTCAATGTCCATCTGCCGAAGGACCGTATATCTATGGCCCATCAGGGTTACGGCTTCAGTGAGTTCTTGACTGAAGAGGATGCCGAGTACGCATGCAAAATCATGAACCAGATAAAACTTTGGGGCAAGCCCATACGAGTGAATAAGGCGAGTAACAATAACTCTAGCACTAATCACAGGACTCATCGATTTCCGTCCATGTGTGGACTCATAAATCTTTATAGGCATCCTCTGACAAGAAACAACTGGACGTCGGCGCTAATCTTTTCATCGGTAACTTGGACGAAAACGTGGACGAGCGATTGCTGTATGACACTTTCAGTGCGTTCGGTGTCATGGCCACCACCGCCAAAGTCAGTTTCCGCCTTTGCGATCCTTTCTTTGATTTTTGTGCTCAACCTATCCGCAGATTGCACGTGATCCTGGGAATGGGATGTCGAAAGGCTATGGATTCGTCTCATACACCGATTTCGAATCATCAGATGCAGCACTCGAGTCGATGAACGGCCAATTCCTAATGAACAAAGCAATCACTGTCCAGTACGCATTCAAAAAAGACGGCAAAGGCGAACGCCACGGAACGTCTGCCGAGCGTCTCCTCGCCGCCCAAGCACGGAAGAACAACGCACTCCCTGTTGCCGCACGCCCACCGCCAGCACCTATCGGTTTTGGCGCGCAACCCCCCATGCCTGGTTTCCAGGGACCATACCAAGGCCAGTTTGCGGGCGCGCTGGCTCAACCTCCTCCACCGCCTGGGTTCACCCCGCAGCAAACTGTCATGGCACAAGGCATGCCAATGATGGGTGGCGGTGGGATGCCCATGATGGGGATGCCCATGGGCATGGGAATGCCTCCGCCGCCTCAGAATATGCAGATGTTCCCGCCAGGGGCGTTCCCACCACCACCTCCACCTGGTTTTGCGCCGCAGGGCATGCCGGGCGGGATGGTGCCCCCGCCCCCGCCTATGGCGTCTTATTAGCTGCAATGGTGATTGGGGATGGTCTGTCCAGCATTGTATTGTAGCTTTTCTTATCCCTCTTTTATCGCCTTTTGATTCCGTTTTGTCATTTCAGTAGCATAACAGTCATAGTCTATACGCGGTCAGCACAGCTTGTGCACTTCGACTGTTGAATCTATTTTGCTAACATTTCAGTTCCCACATCTCAGTTAGATTTGATGATCGATGGGCTTTCAGAGGTTACAACTTCAGCAATACACGAATACAGGCACTTTTCTTCTCGCAAGGTAGCTGCTCAGCCGGGACCACGATGCAGTGATTGTCATATGGCAAGATATTAGTCTCAATGGCCCCGGACTCCGCATATAGTTCCCGGGAGCGTAGCAGGAATGCTATGTTCGGGAAATCGAAGTCCCCCTCAATGGGTACAGTCCTGGTCACTCGATGATATGGGACTGAAGCATCTTGATCACTATTTTTTGCCAAATCATCGCTTTTTGGAACTCGGTATCAGCAGCTCTAAGTATAGCTGCACTCACACACTTAGCGCTGATCAGCTGAACTTCAACATGATGATCAAACAAAGTTGCAAATGTCGGACAATGGTATGTACGTCTCAGCAACCCCAATATTTCCATTGGTTGCATCTTAAATTATGATCCTTTTTTTTCAGGATCACGACCGATAATGGCACCCATGAGTCAAAAAGTGATAGTTGCGATCTTCCATACGGAAGTCACTATGTGGACTGCGCTGAAAACACTCAAATTTGAAGTGGGGCTATCCTCATGCTTCCAGAAATACTGTTGTCTGTGAACGGGTGATGAGTCCCGAAATAAGGTCAATACTATAATGCTTTCTGGAATAACTCTCAATGATGATCTATACCGACATCAAGCCGGTTTTAGCATGGCATCACTGGACGTGTTCCAATCCATCATGATAACTTAACGCCTGCGACTCGGGTTTTCACGTATTTATACCCTGATAGATTTCAGATAGCTAACGCAACATGGCTGCTATCCCCGACTTGTCTTTAATCCTTGGTCCAGTCCAGGTCGGAGTAGCTGCAAGCTCCTTTCTCAGTGGCTGTTTGGCCATTCAAGCTTATGTCTACTACAGCAAATTCACCACAGATTCATGCCTTTTTAAGATTTTCGTGAGTCAAAACTGCTTGTAACCGTCCTCCGCTAATAAATTGCGATCGTTGTGACACGCAATAGGTTGCATTTTTAGTGTAAGTCGTTGCGTGCAATATGAATTCTCACTAATTTTGGTCTCCAGTTTGCTTGAAACCACTCATTTGCTGTGTATAGTGATTTCGCAATGGCAGATGACTCTTGGCTTACCGGCATCGCTCATTGTCCTCCCACACGCGGGCGATGCAGTCATTACATTATCAGGTCTTATATTCTTTTGTGTGCAGGTTTGTGACCGATTGTTCTTGATACATTCGCAGTCATGAATTTTGTTGATAGTCATTTTTCATCTTACGCCTTCTAAAACTCTCGAAAAGTAAATATCTTGCCGTGGCTTGCCTAGTTCTCTGCGCAGGATTCGCTATTTCGGGAGAGGTGATCGCCAGAAATGCGTTTGCAATGACCAGCGTCGAGCGATTTACCAGCACTCAGTATGCGACAATAGTAGCGTGTATTACGGCTGGCGTTATGTGCGATATCGGAGTCACTGCAGGTCTTATGTACCATCTTTTCAAACTGCGCAAGGCTGAATTCTCGAGGTATTTATCTATCCTCAAGAACTCCCTGTATGTCATTGATCTTGTCTTGCCATATTATAGGACGACTAGAACTATCGACACTTTGATGTTATGGACTCTTGGTCGGTCTTCTTTCATCTTCTGAATCAATAACTATCGTTAATTTCCTATCACTTTCTTAGAAACTGGTCTGATCCCATGGTCAGTGCGAAGTCGGTATCGTTGATGTTTCATTTGTTCATGCTTGCTTTACAAAGCGTACTTACTCTCGCATCTTTAACTTGTGTGAGTCGCTGAATACCTTTGATCATTCCTCAAAATTAATATCTCTTATATCTAGTTCCTTACGATGGGACATAATTGTAAGAAAATTCCTTGGACCCGGATGATGCTAAATTATACATTCATCCCAGTCATATGGATTGGACTTTATGAGATTCTGGGTAGCAGTAGGTGTTGCGCGGATTTCTAAATTAGCCAGGTTTCTGAGAACTTTTTCAGCATACGCAAACGCATGTCTTGCTGCGTAGGATTGTTCCTTCTATCTGTCCCGCATTTCCTGATATCGTTTGCGCAGGTTGAACAGTCGTTCGTTCATCAATCACCAGGGTGCGGTTAATATGCTAGATCGGAACCCGAGCGTTCCAACAGTTAGTGATAGCTGCCACATTCTGAATAATCACCGGCTGATAAAACTAACATTCTTCTATGTCCAGCCATCAGGCATTGTCATCAATATCACCACTTCAAGTCACTCAACGGCTTCCGATGACGATAAAGAGCAAACGCAGGTACGTAAAATATTACCTTGTGTAACTTGTGACTTACCCAATGCTTATTCCCCCGTGCCCCAGGATATATTGAGCTCCCGCCCAGTGGACTTCTCTGTTTGAGTAGGTGATTTTCGACTGTAAAGGGGTCCATCCTTCGCGTGTTTCTGTAACACGGGTCTGGATACCCTCGGTCTGCGACGAATTGAGGTGTAGTGACTTCCGCGACAAGTTCTGAGGTGGCGGTTGAAGTTTATAATGTAAATGATTTTTGTTGTAGGTGACGTGTCCAATGCTCCATATTAGAGGAGGACGGTTACTTATAAGCACCAGGGCTTAGTATTCTCTATTATGGCTCTCACCGTTCTGCCCTTTACAATTTTGAATTTGACTTCACTATCAATGGACACTGGCTATTGTAAACGTAAAAAATCGACTTCAAGTGAAGCGATCAAGGTAAATCCAGCAGCAAGACAAACATGGTGTCGGGGTAAGATATTCAAAGAAGGATTGGCCGCAGGAGTCCAGCCTTCCGTGTGTTCGAATTCCGTGCTCCGGGCGCACCACTGGCATGATGATATCACCACTTTCTTCCTATGTAACTGGGAGCGACACGCCTCATAGTCACTTTGACTGTTTCTTTAAATCCAACACGTTCAGATTGTTCCTATATTATGTCTGATAATTACGAACATGAAATGCCTGGTTCTGTGTCCACAACGATCGATGATTGTATGTGCACCGTGTCCATTGCCGACTCTTTGCTGATTTATCGCTTCAGATCCACAGCAATATCTGAACACATACCTTGGCCAGCCTGGTCTTCAATATGTGGGCCCATTGCCACCCCCTACCATTCATGACCTTCCGTCCAATCATGCAATCAATTTTCCACATTTCCCGCACATCCTGTATAGCCTAAAGAGAAACAGAGAAACACACGGTCACTTAGCCATCATTTTCTTGCCCGTGCTCATCTGTGCCAGATGGTTGGCCAGATACTTGAGATAGGGCCTCGTGGGTCATGATCGCACCCAGATCTTGCGAAGATAACACAGACAGTTCACTGGAGATATGCAGGTTGCTAAGATGCTCTGCGAGGGTATTTCCAAGGGATGACAATGGCGATGATCCTGTGATAAAGTCCACGATTATGTGAGGGGAGGGGAATTCTGGGAATGAGATCTTTGGGTGGCCATGGAAAACCCTCTGATCGTTAATATTCTGTAGTTGAAGGGCTTCTCATCAGTTCGCAAAGTGTTGATGATCCCCTAATTAGTTCAATGTAAAATTGAGAAAAGAAAAACTGACCATCGCAGGGGTCGAACCTGCAATCTCCTGATTTGATTACATAAGCGCTTCACACGCCCTAATCGTAGTCAGACGCGATGCCATTTCGCCAGACGGCCGATGTTAAACAAGGACCGTTTTCCATATATAACCTTATTTAACCCCCTCAGATCCCTGTGGTGCCCACCGCCTCCTGCTCTCATTTCAACCCGATGTCATTTATGCTTGATTATACTTCCATCGACACCAGTAGGTAAGAAAACGCATCACATTTCTTGCAATTAGCTTGACGAGGAAGAATCCCAGTAAATGGAAGAATCTTCCACCTCCGCCCGGATTCTCTAACTTCTCGTCAACATCCAATGTGCGTAACGTGTAACAAATGACTTGCACACTCATCGATTGTGTCGTACCAGGCAAAAGTACCCGCCAAGGTCTCAGCCGCAGCTGCCTCCTCTTATGCTGCTCTGAAAGAGAAACGCGCATGGGATTTCGCCATTGCTCCTGCCAAGTCTCTTCCAATGCAGGCTTTCATGCTGTACATGTCCGGGGGTGGCGTCCAGATATTCAGCATGGGTATCGTATTCATGCTTCTCCTTACGCCGTTCAAGAATCTAGCCGGAATGAACGAAGGTCCGCTAAACGCGTTCAAATGATACATTTCTCTAATTCTTCGTGGCTGCAGCCTTCGCACCGTTTGCACCTACTACATCAAAGGCCAAGTCGCTGAGCGCATTGCCTCTCCAAAAGCTTGCGTATCTCGCGTGTAACTTGCTAACGCTCGCGGTGGGATTGTGGAAATGCCGGTCCATGGGTCTTCTTCCTACTGGAACAGGTGATTGGCTGGCGTTTGAAACGAGAGGAGCAGTGAGTCCACTCGCGTCATTTGAAATTCACGTCATACAATTTTCTGCAGGCCCCAGAGATGTCGCTTTTTTAGCAATACATCGTCCGTCAACGCCTCCAAAACTTTCGATACCAGGCAGCTTGACAGGTGCCAAAGAGGAGCATGTATCCTAGTATCTATGCCAACTCGATCCCAGTAGTGACATTCGCTGGTCATTCGAATACGTGTACTCCATCTTAGCAGTATGCATTATTCTCTAGATTGCATAGAACATGAATGTCGTGACTCATCCCAGTTATGGAGTATTAAATTCACATCAACACCCATACTTCCCAACAAGATGGCACTACAAAAAAAGGGAAGATAAGGAAAAGAGATCGAGCCCCAAGAGCAGGCATTGTCTGATGTCAACTCTGCAGCTCCAGCTCCATAGAAACATGATAGGTACTGGGATGGGTGAAGTCATGACCTTAGTGGGAGAAAGCGACATGAAGAAAAATGAGGATATATGGGGCACACGTCAAAGGTCGTCAGAAGTCGATGAAAATATGAGAAATCTCGAACACGATCAAGGAAAGCGGAATCCATTTAGACGACGACACATTTATTTCTCTTCTTCACCACAGGAGGTTCAAGCGCAGCGACAATAGCCTGAGTGCGCCACAACAGTGTCAATAAATGATCAATAAACAGTCTAAATAATGGTATCACCTCGTCAAAGACATTCTTCAGGCCCTTTTGCGTCAGCGCTGAACACTCCACGTATTTGACAGCTCCTAGTTCTCGAGCGAGTCTCTCGCCCTGTTCACTCGAGACAGGGCGCTGCTTCTGCCTTGCGAGCTTCTCGATCACGGCGCCATCATCTCGCAAATCAATCTGCGTCCCTACGATGAGGCATGGGACCCCAGGACAGTGGTGGTGTACTTCGGGGAACCACTTCTCCTTTACGTTCTCAAAGGACGCCGGAGATGTTACGCTGAAACAGACAAGGAAAACATCTGTTTGCGGGTATGATAGGGGACGCAGGCGGTCATAATCCTCCTGACCTGTTAATCGACAGTGTTTGTTAAGTGGTCTGATACGAATTGCTGCGGAAGTAAGAATACGACGTACCAGCGGTATCGAACAGTCCTAACGTATAAGGATCCTCACCAATCATTACGGTTACCGCATAATTGTCGAATACCTAAAATAACATGGTTTGAATCGAAGCGAAGTGTTGGAGGTCTCTGCACGTACAGTAGGAACATATTCGCTGGGGAATTTGTTCGTGGTGTATGAAATTAACAAGCATGTCTATTTTTCCTCATCAACGCCACGACCAATCCCTGCCAGGCTGGTCACGTACCTTGCCCACAGCACCATCGCCAACTACAACGCACTTGATAGTCTGCATGATGTTGAAGTAGTTCTGAACTAAGTCGTGATGATACTAAACTGAAAGGCACAGTGCAGCATGTCAGTACACGCCAAGCACACGCATGGACACCGTTTTTAGAACAAAATTGACGCTGCAGCAAACATCACCGGCATGACAACCACACGACCGGGGCAGTGCGCAGAAACGGACGCCTAAGTGTCACAGAAAATGATGCTTTAAACGCTCACCAAATGTTTCAAAGTAAGTAAAGGGAATATTGAAACGTTGACGATCGCAATTAACCCAATCGCGTTTGCGCACGGTTGACTCTAATATATGAACAGAACCTGGCTGAGTTGTTAATGCGCTTTGAAACCGAATTTGCTTGTGCAGAGAACGGATATGAAAGGAGACGTACAGCGCTGGGTGATAGCGGATATTGCGACAACGGTAACAACAACGAGAGCTGGCGAACGACCTGTTTCTGGAGCCTCAAGGCGAATCGTAACGACTTGTTCTGATCAGGACAAGCAACGCACTGGCTGCTGGACCGGCCCTAAGTGCACCCAAACAACTACAAATACTATTTCAACCTCCTGCCATAGCAATGAAACCTCGGAAAGCAAAAGGAAGCCTCTATATGAATCCCTAGTGAAAATATGTAGTTGTAGCTAGCAGACTTAAACAACAGCTGCATACGTTACAGATATTATAGAATGCATGGTGATAAGTTAGTTGCACATTACTGCTACAATGTATCCAGCCAGAAAAGTTCAGCGATAATATTTTCCATGACATGCTAGGTGCAGAGATGTCCACGACTGATATCTTGTGGACATTCTCATCAGTTCCCCACTAATGGAGGCTTCCACCATGAGAGGAGACCCTGCTTGGTGCCGGTGACTATTTGACAGCTATCGATACGACTGTTATGATCAAAGGTCTGGTTAAGCACGGATCATCAGTTTGTGATATGCTACAAGTAATTAAAAAGTCTTACCGCCACAGCTTGCACGGTCTCATCTAAAATAATAATGAGCTGTATATCGATCATACAGCATTCAACATACCTTCCCCGTGATCTAAACCGCAAACGACATCGCCCTTGTTTTTATCCCACACAAGAACGTGATTATCTGTGCACCCAAAAAGAACAGTACGCCCGGTACTGGAGAAGCTAGCAGTAAAATTCTGCCGTTGGTCCGTATTGGGTTCACCATCCTTTGTCGTGTATACTTGTTCGACCTTACCCTTGTTGTCGGATTTTTGGATGCCGATGAGGTGTGCTCGGCCGCCAGATTGTGAGACAAGGACTTGATTTCCTTGAGAATTAACGTCCAGACCATGGCTGCGCTGACATATCAGCACAGGATATGAACTATTTGGTGATTACTGACACTTGTAATTTCAAGAAAGCATAGGCTCGGAGTGTACCGTTGGGTACCTGACAATGCCATCTGACATAGTTTATGATCAGTATGCGGACGGGTTTCAATTTTACTGAATCCTCACAGAACACCATCGCTGGTACCCCCAAGCAAGGCTTCACCATCCTCGACGAACTTTATGGCGGTAACATTTTGCCGCAAGATAGACCTCTGCGGTTGCCAGGTTCCTAATAAACTCGAATTCAGTACTGTTTGCGTGTACCCCACAAGTGAACTGACCTTTAATCCAAAGCCAGACTTTGACACCTAATCGAGGAAATGCAACAGCGATCCTATCCTGCATGTACGCAAAATCCACCGCTTCCTCTTTACCAGCATCCAATAATTTTACCCATTGCCAATGCTTCTGATTCTGTGATACGAGAAATTAGCCCAAGAATTCCACGAAGGAGGAACATCTTTACATTGGGGGTCCATTTACTGATGACGCCATCCTGATCAAGTGAAATCACTCCGATATCACCAGCCATCCATGCCACGGACATCACGGGCGAGTTCTGCGCCAAGCGTGCGGTTTCAATATAGTTCGCATTACTCCAGATACGTATAGTGCGGTCGTTACCTAAAGAAACCAACGGTCATGACATGGAAGGTTAGAAGGACGAGTATACGGACATATCACCGCCATCCTCTGGCCATCAGCTGCGAATGCGATCTCCCGAATACCGGGATCTTCGTCGCTTTTGATGCGCACTGCATGGATACTCCCTTGTGCAGGCCAGCCGAAGGCGCGTTTACGTGGACGCATGCCTTCAAAATCGGAATCCGCGGAGGAGATAGCGCGTTTCTTTCCTTTGCCTTTGTTTTCCACAGGCATTGAAGCTGAGTATTGGCTCATTCGAGTGGCTCGGGTGCCTGGAATCACCCGATGAATATCAGAAGACGACATCCCGGATGGTGGTACTTACCATTTCCAATGGGAAGCTGCTGTAAAGCACCTGCGATGACCTCTGGGGGAGGAGCACGAGGCAGGCTTGGAGGAATAACAGGAGTGCTTTGATAAGATATCGAGCCCGAGTGGTGAGACGACGACGAATGGGATAAGCGCGCATCTAATAATTCTGTCAAGAGATTTGATCAGAGAAAATAATTGAATCTATGATGAGGGCTGACCATGCTTTATAGGTATTGCTGGGGACGGGCTGGGCTGATGTACTTTTAATGGCGGATTGAGATTCGAAGGGCCTGCTTCAGTGGATGGAACCGTTCTTTGGCTAGAAATACGTTGAGTGGAAGAATGCAACAAACCTGGGGGAGAAGGCGAGGAATGAGGAAAATTCGAGAGTCCAGGAGGAGTTTTCGATGATCTTATGCTGTCAGGAGTGGAAGATCGTGGTCGTGGTCTGGTAGAAGAAGGAGCAGGGGTAGTTATTGCTTGTGACTTTGCAGGTAGTCTCGGAGGTATCGGAGGTTCGGGAGTGGGGGGTCGGGGTGGCACTATATGGGAAGAGGCCACAGACGACT